TACAACATATGAATCCAAGTTTCAAGAAAATCCGAAATATTACTCCAAAAAGTGTTCGGCTTCGCGTAGAATGGCCCGAGGACTAAATTTGATCACCGTGGTGAAACAGCATAGATTAGATGACCAGTCACCTGTCCCATTTAACGCGGCGAAAAACCTGCCCATTGTACAATCATCCTACGAAAGATGGTATGTACGTCGAATCTAAGAAAGAGGTGTTACAAAGTCGGCTTAGTTCCGTGTAGGCTCAAAGGAGCGTAGACAAAACGAATTCCAATATTTCCGTAACGGAGGTGCTTTTGCGTTGTCTAGGAAGCGGTAAATCCAGCGTGAACTGTGGTCGAGCGTCAGTAGTCCAAGGGATGTACCTCTTATTCGATCTAGGAGGAGAAAGTCTCTGTTCTATTGGAGCAGAGCAAGGTCACGTGGACCGTGGGCCAAAGAGTGAACCAGGTAGCACGCTATAACGCGGAAGAAATTGATTAGCCGATTTCGGTGTATCGATAGTTCGCCCTCTGTTCCCTATTGTCACAGGTGACGTTTTGTTGCCCCCGTGGCTTGTTCGGCCCGAGAAGTTCCTTTTTCCTCAAAAACGAAACTGTCCAGTCATTTTTACTCGAGCCGTGATCAGTCTTCTCCTATTTCTCGGACCTGCCCTAACCCCCAATTTTCACCGGCCACGAAAAGAGTGTATCGAATCTTTGAGCCGTTCGCATCTCTTGACCGTACCAAATTTCATTGGTGAATTAGGAATATGATAACATCTCAATGGTGTGTATAAGAATCACTGTTGAACATCCCCTTCTCGAAAAATATTTCATTAGACAAATTTTCAGAAAGATCCCGTTTTTTCAGATGATTTTAGGGTTTCTTTGAATGTGGTTGAAGAATAAAGTAATGAAGATGAACTTTTTTTGTTATACTATGGATTGATATGTTGGCATATGGGGAAAGACAAGTAAAATTAACTTCTGGTTAAGATCTTTAAATGTCCTAGGAAGGTCCTATTTACAAAGTGGAACGTCTTGAGGACGTCCTGCGTCAACATTCTCAGAACGTTTCCCGAATGTGTAAAAGTAACATTCCCTATACGTTTTGGGAACGTTTAAAGAGATATTACAAACGCTATGGTAATGTCTTAAAAGACGTATAAGAAACATTTCCAAAATATTTAAAATTGCGGTTAGGTTTTATTCTGTACAAGGTGACAGGAATTAGGTTAGGTTGGTTTGTGTTTAACAAATAAAAGATTAACTTTCCTGCGATTTCCGCACTTAGTAGAAACTAGATCTAGTTAGTTCATATTAATAAATAAAAAGTCCTTTTCGGGACATCCTCCGAATGTACAGAACGTCCGGAACGTACGTCCATCGGACGTACATAGGACGTTTCTGTGCTATTTGGAGTTACTCGTCAAAGTTTCTATTTCACCCCCACTAATGGGGAGGGGAGGCCATCGAACGTGCCAAGCGCCTAATTATCTGCCGTTTTTGTTGCTGAGACTCGGGGTTCCAGCAAAAAATAGATTTGTGAGGTGTTGAAACGATTCATGGTGCACCGTGAATGTTTTGAAGCGGATCAGATTTTCAAACTCTCCTGGAGTCTGTACTGTACCTACTTAGAAAACTCGAGATGAGGTTTAAAGCTTCTCAAACATGTAGTGTTGAAACCTCCATCGACTTGAAATGTCCGCAAAACTTGATATCTGAATTCCAAATTTGCTGAGTGAAAAAAACAAGATTGTAGGAGGAAGTAATAGAGACTGTTGGAAACTATATCAATTAGTTTCTATAGAAACAATATACCAACAGATAACGATATACACTACAACCTAGCAGCTTCTGTTGCTAGAATAGGTATAAAAGTTAACCCTATATGTGAATGCACCTAAGGACAAGAAGACTTGAACCACTTAGTATGGCAATGCTGTCTCTACAACAGTCAAAGAATAGATTTAATTAACAATCTGAGAAAACTTAAACTCCAACTACCCCTTCAAATAGAATACTTAATCAAGTGTCTAAACACATAAGCTTGTAAGAACATATTCAAATTTCTGAAACAATGTAATAAGACTGTATAAAGTCACACACTCACTTACTATGCATAAATCGTAAGGTACAAAATGTAATATAATATGTAAAAATAATCACTATAATGTAATAATTCTTAATCTTTAATGTAAAGCAGATGTAAGCCTCCATTTAGGCTTAAAATGCATACTAATAAAAAAAAAGATAACGATATACCAATTCAGCCTACAAGTTTACCATCATTTACGGGACACGCCGGTATTATTTTATTTACAAGCGACAGTAAATCTTACACTCTATACAGCAATTATCACGAATCATCGTCGGAAACTGTAAATCTTTAGAAAATTTGGTACTGGGTAAGCGAAACCTTCGACATTCGATGGCCTTATTGTTGGAAAGTGTCCTTCTTCGCTGGAGTTCTGAACGCCGAGGATATTACGCGAAGTTATGCCAGCAACTTTCCGCTACCTGTTTCGCTACCGTACGGAAAGATTTACAAGCAGAGCGAGGACCATTTACACAGAAGACCTTCGAAAAAATTTATACCGGTCCATCATTCCTTCATTATGATTTTACTTCCAGACAGTGGCGGCTGTAAATGTTTCTCGTTCAAAAGGCAACTGGAATGTCTTCCTCACAAACGGATCGAAAGAAACTTCAAATACAGGGTGAACTCGCTTAAAATTTAGACACCAAATTAATCATTGCTATTTAACAATTTCAACGTGAAATGAATATGCGCCCTTAAGATTATCTTCATTTTCTTACGAAATTATTTACATTGCTTGACAATTTGCTTTTAACACTATGAGAGCTACCGATGATAAACGCATATCTGTTTCGATCGGTCGATAAACCTGAGAAACTTTTGAAAATTTATAAATTTATAAATTAACTAATTTCTTCACTTTCAAATCGTAATATAATTCCACATGATCCGAAACAATGTATTGTTATAACATTGTAATCATCGTTATAAGAGTGTACTGACAAGTCATTTTGACTTGTTTGGTAGTTTTAGTGTTAATGAAACTAAAAGCATCTTTTCCAAGAATTTCATTTATTGTTACAAAACGACACTGCAATCATCAATTCTTGATTTTATTATTACTTTTTGAACGGTAATCATTGTTAACAGAAATGGCGGCATATGAAGATAAAATTTTTTTAATGGAATCGGATATTTTTTAACGCTCGCCATTATGTGTAAAAAAGTATGAAATTATTTATGCCATAAAACCATTAGTTTAAGAACCTACAGCTAGTATGCGTGACATCGAACATCTTATGCTTGTATGAATGACACATCAATAAATTTCGAAAGTAGTACTAGAAAGGTGATAGATCATTTAGAATCTGAATAAATCTCTGCAGTCAGGCTGGTGGTCGTACTATGAACATCAGCTTTAAAAAATAAAATACTACGTATATCGTATTAAGTAGGTAATTCTCATTTCGCAATACAAGTAGTAGTTCTTTGGCATAAATAGTTCAATACTTTTTGCAGGGAATGATGGGCTACATCGACTAATGCAGGGGTCGGCAAACTTTTGAGACGGAAGAGCCAAACCTGTCCCTTACAACAATTTAAAAATTATTTCAGAGCTATAAATATATTTTTACAAATAAGGAAAATTTAAAGTAACATTATAACAAGTTCTACTATTAATTATATCTTTATTAAATGAAGAAAAAATCTTAGAAAAATTGCTCTCATTGATTGTATTTTCATTTGTAATTATACTTCAGAGTCACATGTAAGTAGGTACCCAAATAGCCACATTTGGCTCGCGAGCCGCAGTTTCCGACCCCTAGACTAATGCATTAGGAAATGTATGATTCTATTTGAAAAAAACAAATTTGATCTTCATGTGTCCACTGTCCTCATTACACTTATTCCCAAATGTGTACAATTTATGTACGTAGGTATACATATTTATAACGTGTTTGTACTATTACAGACAGTCTATCAAGAATGAGGCTAGTCATGAACGCTGATATACATACATATATGGATATACTTAAGCTTTAATTATTTATTTACAGACAATCTTTGCGAAACGTATTTCCTTTTCATTAGATCACACATGTCCTATACCACAGTCACCTTTGAACCCGTTCGATAACCACTGCCGTATCTGCATCCATGTCTCCGAACTGATTTTCAGTTGTCCTTTGCAACGAGACCGTCACCTGGTCCGTTGCATTACAACATCCGCGGGCCCTTGGGAGAACGAAGGAAACCAGTCGAGAACGTCCAGTGAACGTGGAACTACGGTCCGTGGGCGTTTCCACGTAAGAGAACGCCCACCGCGAGCTATTGGGTTGCCAACCAAATGGCAGGGCGTAGCTGACCGTGGGACCACAGTGATACCCCGTTAGTCCCAGGGACTTGAACGGCCCCCCTCCTTTTTTTCTAAGCGTGCAGGCTCGACGGAGAAAGAGAGAAAGCCCCCCATTGCTCGCGACACAGTTGGTGGGACACGAGGGTACCAGTGGCAGAATCTGACACGTTATTGCACCGGTACCCCTCGCAGCGAAAGCTACGCGTGCTGCCCGCTTATTCGTTTTCTTGTTTCGTACCTTAGTCCAGGACGCACCGACCACGATACAAGGGTCTTCCTACCGGAGCCCGTTTTTCCTTTCATTTTCTTCCTTTTCTTTTTTTCTTCCCTTCCGCGCGCCGCTCGTCGTTCCCTTCTATCTTCGCGCGCGTGTCCTGCCCTCTTCGCGAAGCTGATGTTCCCCATCCGTCCACCTCGGTCCCCATCTCCGTCGTCTCATCGTGATCGTCTTTTTTGCTTTTCGAACTATCGGTTGTCGGCGTGGTTCGCCCTTCTGGTAGCAACGCATACTCTACGTTAGTGAATACAGATCGTTGGTGTTTTTGTCAAGATCGAACAGTGGTGATAAAAAATACACACGGATCTTCCAGTGAACGGAGTTACGCGAACGATCGTCAGGATGGATGTCACCAACGGCATGAGACCGATATTCGGTGGTTACCCGTTTCAAGGTTCGTACTCGATCTGTGTGAAAATTCAACTGACATGTCGGTATAAAAATGAATTATAAGAATCTCGAGACATTCCGAAACAGTTTGTGTCAAAGGATTTTAATCAATTTTTAATAGACATGGGGATTTGAAAATCGTCGAATGTTTGTCACGTGCGAAACGTAGGTACCGAACGTTTGTTTTAAGGGAAATACTCGGACAACGGCAAGGAATTCTTATTGATTCTCTAAATCGGAATAACTGTTTTTACGGTTTTACTAAATCGGAATATTTATATCGGCGTGCGAAATGCGGAAAATTAGAAGTAACTATTAGACCACTGGTGTGGATGGAATGTAATGTCGGTTTTGAATAGTATTTAGTTAGGAATAAGTACCGTTTCAAATCAAGAATTCCCAACTATTTACAATAAACCAATGGTGTTAGTGGAAAGGTGTGTTTGTGTATAAAGTGTGAAATTTTCATCTGGTGAAACGAAATGTTTCGGGTAAAGGTAACTAAATTAACAAAATGATTACTATACAGTTGACCTGCAATTTTCAAAAATCTGTTATATACTGTAGTTTTTTGTACATAATAGAGATCAGTACAGAAGATCCTAATATAATACCAATAAATGATAAATCATACGATTCCATTCGAAAATACATATTACAAACAATTATTTCTTCAACAATTATTTAACACAAAACAAGAAACTTGACTTTCAGAAACACAACTGAACAGATCGTAAGCTAATATTTATGTTGGTAAAAATCAGCAAGTATTTAAAGTTTCAGTTGAGGAAAGTAGCTAGTACCAACCAACGTGTGAAATTACTAAACTGGTCAAAGATTTTTAGCAATAATAGATTGTATATCTCTTCCCATACTTTGTGTTTTCATCGGTGGTTCACTATAAATATGTAATACCTACATACAGATAGGTATTCTTCTTTGTTTGTTCCGTCAAGTTCTTCCTATAGGTTCAACAAAGTTGATAGTAAATTTTTATTCAACTAGCAACTCATTGATCATGTTGATTCTAACATTTAAACTTTGTATCAATAACTGGGTAGGCAGGTATGTAGGTACTCGGGTACCAGTTTCCATATTTCGCTTAAAATTTTGTACGCTTTTGTAGAAACTTGGCTAAATCACTCTGGTGTTGTATACATTGGACATTTTTACTTGCATTGTTTCATGTTTACAAAATAAAAGTGTATATTAAAGTTTTTTAACGTGACGTCTACAAATACATATATGTATTTATACGCTTATTCAAATACTGGGTATATGTGCACGGTTATTCAAGGCGGGAAAATGGTAGTTTGGTAAACTAAAAGCAACTGTACCTATGAGAAAATTTTAAGAATGAATTAAATAGAGCACATATACTGTTCTTAGAGTTGTTCAGTTACCACCGACTTACTAAACACACGACAATTTATTAATGATATACAGGGCAAGGTACCTAACTCGACCACCTCGAATAATTTCTAAATTATACGTTGTACAAAAAATTATTTGTACAATGGTTACATGGTATCAAGAGGGACATCACGTGATGTACACGACTTCTTTATAAGTGGTGGCATTTAGGAGATTACAAGGTCAACTTTGTTATTACAAGGTCAACTTTGAAAGCTAATTAATTCCCAAATAAAAGAGTGTTAAACATTGTATGTCTTAAAGTTAATAATTAACGAGATATTAACGATAGTTTGTTCCGGCAGCGTTTATATGATAATGTTTATCAACATATCTCTTATTTACTTTGATGCTGTCGTCCACGATTTCCGTGATGAAGTAGCTAATAAATAAGGTGATAAAAATGCAGTAAGAGCTAAAATTGCTTATGTTGAACATTTTAATCTTTATCAAGTGTCTAGATGTGTCTTTAAGTGTTAGTGTAGTACAGGGGTCGGAAACTGCGGCTCGCGAGCCAAATGCGGCTCTTTGGGTACCTACTTACACGTGACTCTGAAGTACAATTAAAAATGAAAATACAATCAACGAAAGCAATTTTTCTAAGATTTTTTCTTCATTTAATAAAGATATAATTAATATTAGAACTTGTTATAATGTTACATTAAATTTTCCTTATATATAAAAATATATTTATAGCTCTGAAATAATTTTCAAATTATTGTAAGGGACAGGTTTAGCTCTTCCGTCTCAAAAGTTTGATGATGTCGGTTAACACGAATAGAGTAATGCAACCTATTGATTAATGAAAAAGTGGCATCTTGAATTATCTTCGAAGCAAGTGTGGTAGGTACACTATTAACGAATTCGTTCTTGAATATCCTCTGTCGTTGTTGGTGGTCCACGATACACTTTATCTTTTAATGTACCTTAAAGAAAATAATCCAATGGTGACAGGCCTGGTGAACGAGGCGACAATGGAAATATTTCGCTACGATCAATCCAACGATTCGGAAATTGTCCTTGTAGAACTTCCCCCGTCTGTCGTGCATAATGTGCAGGGCAACCGTCATGTTGATACCATTATTACGTATTCTTACATGATGCCATTATTACATTTGATACCATTATTACGTATTATTTACATTACTGAACGGACATTTAATGGTACATTTTCCAAAAAAATTGGCAATGTTCCTGTTATAAAGTTGAATATTTCTGCCCTGTTAATACTCAATCAATAAAATATGGTCCAATTATTCGATTGTCAAGTGTACGACACCAAACATTAACACTCCATTCTTATGTAACTAAATTCCCTATTCAAAAACACACAATAACAAAAAAATACTTTTCCCTACTCCCTCTGGTCTCGGAGATGTTCCAAAAAATATATTTTCATCCCTCAATTTTGGGGGTTGTTATCACACCCTTAACATGGACAATGGCCTATAAAAAAAATAGATGTCAAGTATTTTTTGGAAAACTATCTCCTAGATAAGGTTTATTAAAATCGACGTGTGCGAGTTCAGTACCTATGTTCTCTTGTTAGATAAGATAATGTTTTGCTATATCGTACGTATTCGATTTTTACGAGTGTTACATTTGTCAGTTTTTAATAATTTGATGTTGTTTGTTAGTAGTATCGATAACTGAAGAATGAACACGTAACAGTGTACAATTAATCCTTGTTTCGTAATATAGTGCATACTCCATGGACTTTTCCAAAAACGCGATTAACGTAATCATATGCTTCCGGTATTTGCTCGTGTTTGTACCAGATTTTGCATATAAAAACGGTAATTATAACGATGGGTTGCGGTGTACGATGGCAAAGAAAATAATGCTACCTACGGAAGGATGGTTGATTCGACTAACGATCGGACATTATACCCGTCAGCCTTGGAAACGGCCTCCCGTGCGCATAACTTCTTCAATTTTACGGTTGTTAGTCTCATTTTTGGTATTACCTGAACTTCACCGACCTGTTATCTAATTTCACGTTTGCGCCTCGGACCTGGATTCAGCCGCTAATTTCAAGCCCAATCACCGCAATTGCGCTCACACTTTTTCCCCTTCCTGCCTCTAAACGATGCTACTTTCGCGCGCGTCCAGCTCGAACTACTCTTTTTCCATAATTAAATATTCTTTGATCGTGACGGAAAACTTGCATAGTTTGCAGGACAATTTTTATTTAATTATATCTCCTTTGCTTTATTAATATTCTATCTCCTGACTTCTGTCTATTATTTATTTCTACTGATCTCAGAAGGAAACGATATTCTACAAACATGTAATTCGGAAATATTGTTGTTTAATTATTACTTCATGTTGCATCAATTTCTCGTGTGAAGGTTATTACTAGACTGCGGATTTTATGCATTTATAGCCCATAAGGCTCTGTGAAATACAATAAAAGACAAAACTTTCATCGGATCCAACGAATTTTCTATTTTAGTCTGAACCCAATAAGATACTTAAGAGGAAAAATAAATTTCTATATTTGCGCCTGTCTTTATAAATTACTTTAGAAAATGTTCTAGAAAATGTCTAGTTATTAGCGACAGATGTAGAATATTTTTCCTTTCAAGCATGTTTTTAAACATGAGGAACCTTCAATGTTAATTTTTAACCGTGAAACTATAATCTACAATATTCAAACTTTATCACAGAATTTTTTGGGACTTATTTTAACAAATAGTTTTTAAATAATTCATACCAGAATGCGGGCAACAGACTGCAACAAATTCTATAAACCTTTCAAGATGAGAAAGTGTAACAACAATGTATCATTGAAACGTGATAAACTTCATCGTGATCCTTTTAGTCCTAATGCAACAATTTAGTTTTGCCTGTAAATTACTTTTGATTATTATTTCTGGTTACCCCGTAAAAAGCGCTGTTTGTTGTAATAAAACAATTATTTAGGAACACCGCGTGTAGTTTTCCTATGAATTTCATTTACTCTAGTGTACTTAACACTAGAACTACCAAGCAAGTCAAAATGATTTCTCAATACACTCTTACAACGACGATCAAAATGTTATGACAATATATTTTTTCAGATCTTTTGCACATTTTATTACGATATGAAGGTGAAGAAATTAGTCAATTTCTAAATTTCTAAATTTTCAACGGTTTCTCACGTTTTTCCACCGATCGAAGCAAATATGCATTTCTCGTTGGTAGTTCTAGTGTTAATATTCTTCGGTCTATTATTTAGAGTTCATGGGCGTCGCCAGGTTATCAGTAACAGTGAAAAAGGCTGTACGTAGCCAGACACACTTTAGTTCTTTTTTTTTTTATTATAGCATTTTAGACTTCTTATGAAGTTTATTTTTGCTTTACATTTATCACGCATTATACAGGTGACGTGGTACGTATCATTTCATACAGATTTGTTATATTGTTTTAAGTAATTGAATATATAAGTATAAGCTTGAATATGTGGCCCAGCAATCAGATTTTCACCTAATGAACAATCAGTTTTATACCTAACAACTTGTCGATCAATTCTATGTCAAACTAAGTGGTTTAGATCTTGGTCTTTTTCTTGGCATTCGCATATAGAGCTTTTTATTTTATTTTGAAAGTCATGAATCGTTGAAAATATATGCGTTTTGTTAATAGAGGCTGTTGGTTGTGTTTCAAGTTTTACTGCAATATTAAATACAACAAAATTTTGTAACTCTGGGAAGGCTGGCGCGGGGGGGGGGGGCAGAGTCCAATTTTTTTTCTTGTAGGGCAAGTGCCAACAAATGCCTTCTCCTGTTGCAAATATGTATTGCTCACATACAATGTGTCGGTACATTCTTCTGTTCGATCGAATGATACACAGTTACCTATGTCGAAAAGTTTCTGTAATTTAGCAGACAGAAATGTTTAGGATCCACAGATACCTAAAAAAACTATTAATTTGCTTAATCTCTGTTTACATAAATAAAGTTTAGTATCAGAAAAATGATTGTTCTATCGTCTACACAGTGGGTAGGGCACATTCTTGTGGAACAATAACAAACGGCACAGTACGTTTCCGAAAATGTAAACAGAAATAAACACAGTAAACCAGACGACACGGATAGTGACCCTATCGTTATTTCGGTCACTTTATGTCTATACTGTCGACATATGTAAAAATAAATCATACATAGAAAACCACCGATAAATTTCTCAAGTTCGAAGCGGTGAAATGTAAAAGAATACGTCGGTGGCTCTTAAATTAATGAATAAAACGTTGATGAAATATTTTGTCAGGGCAAGGACGCATGAATCAGCTTGGTGGTGTCTTCATCAACGGACGACCACTTCCAAATCATATTCGACTGAAAATAGTGGAAATGGCAGCCGCGGGGGTTCGCCCTTGCATTATCTCGCGGCAGCTTCGCGTGTCTCACGGTTGCGTTTCGAAAATACTGAATCGTTATCAAGAGACCGGCTCGATCAGACCTGGTGTCATCGGTGGAAGCAAACCGAGAGTAGCCACCCCTGAAATCGAAGCAAGAATCGAAGACATGAAGAGGGATAATCCTGGAATTTTCTCATGGGAGATTCGAGAGAAGCTTGTAAAGGTAAGAAATACAAACAGATTTCCATTCATGGCATTCCGAAATTTCGTAACCTTTCAAAGATTAGTACATTGTAATCTGTAATTTTCAATTTGCATCTGATCTACATATGTTTATATGAATAAGTTTGTTGCATAAATTAGATGAGATTTCTATCATTTTCATTGACAACGAAAAAACTCTACTATTTACTTTTAGTTGACATATCAGTTTCCGAATTTATTTCTGATACAGAACAATCCATCTATTTGAATAACTGAATATGTAATATAATAAATAGAGTAGATGGCGTAAACTTTTCCAGTCGTGATAGTACAGTTCTTTTTTTACACGTTAAACATAGCTTAATGGAAATTTATTCTTCGCTCACTCGTATCTTTTTATTTGTATTTCGCTCCGAAAACAAAGTACGACAAGTATCTTGCACAGAGGATAGCCTACCTAAGTATACCGGCGAGCAAACTCTGCTTTCACTAGGGGAAAAAGTAACGTAGGGAAAGGGCCTCCTACCATTTGGTATTTGGAATTACTGAAATGTATGCCAAATTTAACATTCTATTTAACATTTCTTTCACTACCTGTAATAAATTTGCCACGTGGTAGAGAAATTTTCTTCTACGCCGCTTTTTCACCTAGTGGAAGCCGAGTTTGCTCGTGAGTGTACATAAACAAGAATTGCATACAAATTTATGATTATTACAACTATGATTTTAAAGGTACATGAAAAAATTGTGTAAGTCACTATATCTGTATGAATATTATTTTTAATAATTCCCAATACCAAGTGGTAGGAGGTTTTTTCCTTACATAACTTTTTCCCCCAGAGGAAGCCGAGGTTGCTCGTGAGGTTACATTGAGAATGTATGTATTTCTAAGTCACTGCACCACATTCAATTGGGTTTTTATTTCTCTAATGATCAGGCCTTGAAGATATTGCGGTCGAAACGCTACGAATTTTCTGAATGTCCCAACATAGTGATACATAATGGTCATAATAACAACTTGCTTTCCGTCGCAATATTCGGGAATTTAGCGAACATTCAATAAATGCATCAAACTGGTGTATTACATAATATTATAAAAACAATTGATCAAATTGTTAATTGATCACTAGACTGCGGATTTCTATGCAGCTAGAACATATCCAAATATGTAACAAATATGCAGAAATTTTTTAGAAAATATGCAGAAAATATGTAAAAAATATACAGGAAGTATGCCTACCGAATGAGTCAACTGTGATTGAAAATCACACGTCTTTTTTATTACACGTCTAGTAATTAACAATGTCATCTTCCATTATAAAATTTGTATTAGCTATTTAACTTATCCATTTGTCAATTATAACTTGTTTGGCACTTCTTGCTTTAGGCATTGTACGAAAATTAGTAAATATTCCTAAAGATCTAGCCCTCCGAAAACAATGAAAAGTAAGAAACAGTAAAAGTATAATTTGAAAAATTTTACCATCTGGTAACTCTTCTGTATGTGAAAATGGAGTCTTCAAACTTATTTCTTGAAACGGTACTCGAATAAAATTATCTAAATACATAAGAATACTATTCACTTTATTCAAATTATCTCGTAATTAATTGTACAAACAGTAAAGTGGTGGTGCCCCGTAAAAAAGTAGATTGAAAATGTAAGATAAATTTCTTTGTAACTCACTTCGTTTTCGAAAGAACTGAATTCGAATTTCAACAGAGTACGTCTCCACTAAAATCCGGTTTTAGATGCACTGGGTACTTTGTTAAAATTCAAATTCAGTTCTTTCGAAAACGAAGTGAGTTACAAAGAAATTTATCTTACATTTTCAATCTACTTTTTTACGGGGAAAATGTAAGATACATTTCTTTGTAACTCACTTCGTTTTCGAAAGAACTGAATTCGAATTTTAACAGAGTACGTCTCCACTAAAATCCGGTTTTAGATGCATTGGATACTTTGACTCAGAATCGAACGATTGTCGCTTGATATTTTTACATTAATATTTATTAATTGATCGTATACTTTCGTATCATTGACTTTATTTCACTATCTTGTATACAGGGTGTTAATAAAAATATGGGACACTTTGACAGGGTGGATTATACGTGCAAAATTAAGACGAAAATCAAGAATGACAAAAATTCGTTCGAGCCTTCATTTCCGAGTTATTAATTGCTAAAAATACTGGCAAAATACGCGTGAAATACGTTTCGCGCGATTGGTTATACTATTTGCACAGTCGATTTCCAGCTGACACACAGGCTCGATTGCTGGCCTACTTCAATTTAATGAATGAAATAAAATGAAATGAAATGAATGAACTCGTGAAACAGTTGAAGAGCTCACATCTTAAGTAGAATAACCCGTCGCGTCAGACACGTATGTCGCATATTTCGTCCGTATTTTCAGCAGACAACTCGAAAATGAAGCCTCGAACGCAATTTCGTAATTCTTGATTTTCGTCTTATCTACATAGTTTGGCATGTAGAATCTACCGTATAAAATTCTCCCGTATTTTTACTAACTCCCTGTATACTAATGTCATGAAATTCACGAGCGAACGTGGATGAGTTAGTGAACGAAGCTGTCCATGTTCAATCTTTTTTTTCATATTACAAAGTATTAACACAATTATTTCAGCAAATACTAATTTTCTTTATCGGTGTACACCCACGAGCAAACTCGGCTTCCGCTAGGGGAAAAAGTAGCGTTGGAGAAGGGCCTCTTAAAATTTGGTATCGGGAATTATTGAAATTTATGCCAAATTAACATTCGATTTAATATTTATTTCAGTACTTGAAATAAATTTACCAAGTGGTAGGAGGTTTTTCTCTTACCCCCCTTTTTTCTCCTAGTGGAAGCCAACTTTGCTCGTGGGTGTACACTGACAAGCAAACTCGGCTACGACTAGGGGAAAAAGTGATGTAAGGGTTAAACCACCTAGTTTTGGGAGTTACTGAAGTTTATACCAAATTAATATTCAGTTTAACATTTATTTCAGTATTTCAAATGAATTTATCAAGCAGTAGGAGGCCCTAAGGGCCCCTACGTTACTTTTTCCCCTAGCGAAAGCCGAGTTTGTTCGTGGGTGTACACTCGCGACCAAACTCGGCTTCCGCTAGGGAAAAAAGTGGCATAGGGAAAGGGCCTTCTACCATTTGAACTCAGAAATTTCTGAAATTTATGCCAAACTATTATTCGATTTAACATTTATTTCACTACCTGGAATAAATTTACCAAATTGTAAAATACTTTTCTTCTACGCCGCTTTTTCCCCTAGCGGAAGCCGAGTTTGCTCGTCGGTGTACCAGGAATTCGAAATTAATAACAACAACGAAATAACAATCTGCAATTATCCGAAGAATCTGGCCGCGACACATATTAATATAACGGACTCAGTTTTTCGTCAAGAAAAACGCTGAAAGCTATTGTTCGATCTCTCGATCGACGACGGGAGGGGGAGTGGGGGGTGGACGTTTCCGCGGGGTCTCTCTATCTCTCCCAAGATCGCAGTGAATGGGGCTTTTTAATCTTGCACACGAGGCGTGCACGAGGCGGGCAGGGGTGTACGTGAGCGCCCTGAGGCAACTCGCGTGTCCTTTAATACGTTACTGCCCGCCGCCTACACCCACGCCTCATTGGCGTAACGCTCCCCTCGTTCGTGATGCGATTTTCGAGTAGGTATGCAAAACGACTTTTCCAAGAATAGCTCTTCCGTGCAGGGGGTTTATCACAACACCTTAAAAAATCGCGAAAACCTGTGTGTAAAGCCGTCGATGAGGTCCAAGCGCAGGAATCATAATTTCTTTCATCTTTTCTGTGAATTCTTCCAAGGATACTAAAACAAAAAAGCGTGAAATTGGTACGGAAACTGAACACCACGCAAATCACTCTCTGAAAGAAAAGATTGCTACTGATATATGTCCTTCCACACACACATAAATTCCATTTCATTCAGCACAGTTGAATAATCTAAATTCAATAAGGTCCGAGAGATTGGTGGATATTCCGTTCGATTTGAAAAGTTGGAATTGTTCAGCCCTGTACCGCTGGAATCGTTGATCGAGATACTATTGGGGTGGGCAGTAGCAGCTTCCTTTCGTAAAGCAAGAAAAATAGTCGGTAACCGATAGCTAAATATCTCTCCCGCAACGAAATATAAGAATCACCGGAGGTTCTCGAATCAAGATCCGGCGGAAATTCCTCCTCCAACAGCTCTCGGCCCCAATAAAACCGATTCATCGCGGACTACGAGGTGTACCTACGGCGATTCTCGATAAAGAGATAAATTCTAAGACGGTAAAGGAGGAATCTCCGAGTGGTAGGACTGAAACGAAAAGGAATAGCGATGAGAAGGAAGAGAGGAAAAGGACGGGAGTCGAAGGGAAAAAACAGTTTCGAGAACGCGTACGCCGTTGCGGTCGTGGAAGCAGGCGGTCGTAGCCGGCATTAATACGGCATTTAATACTGGAAGGAGGCGTTCCTGGGCTGGAGGACCCGAGGCGGCATCCATCCTTCTTCCCGATCCTCCTGGTGCCCTCTAACAGAGATCTCTGTCTCTTTCCTCCTGTCATCGCCCCGGACCTAAAACCTCAACCGCCACCAACAGGCACAAGGATCGTTATTGTTTCTGAGATCGTCGATCCGAAAGATAGCCATCGACACCGACAATCCCCCTTTTTCACCTTTTTTTTTTCTCTGCTTTCTCCGTTACATTGTATTTTCCGTACAGTTTTGTCTTTTCCGTTTTTTGCTGAACGTTGAGGACACGATTCTTTTAACTTCGTCTGGGAATACTTGTCTTGTTTCTCTTTGTTCTTTCAACTAGGACTAGGACTATTACCGATCGAGTCGGATCTTGGTCTCCGTTTGAAGTGTTTTATAGGAGCGAAATCTAAATGAAAGTTTCCTTACTAGGATTCATGATTGGCATCGATTAAGTGCTATATATTTGTTCCTTGTAATAGGTGAAACTTGTAATTTTATATATTTTATATTACGTTACCACTTTTACGAAGACTAACCTACATTCTTAAGGGGTCATACTCAGTCCGGAGGCCGAAAAAAGAGGGTTCTTTGGGAATTTTTTTCTCAAAAACTATAAGACCTTTTACAAAAAATGTGCATGTGTTCTAAAGATTGCAGTTTCTAGATTATAAGGTAATTTTTTCATTTCAAAATATTTATTAGTAAATAAATGGTGAGCGATCTCCCGGGTGTCTCTTCACAAAAAGTGGTCTACCGTGATCACTGTAACTTCGTAACGGTTCATCTGAAATTAAAAATTCAGTAAGATTTATGTAATGGAAGAACCAATCTTGTCCTTGAACGTGGGGTTTTTCGAAATATTGATTGGGAACAAAATGGTGGACATTTTCCTGAAAAAGTGCGACTTTCACCTAAAAATTACTCGTTTTTGGTCAATTAAAAAAAACTATGGAACGAAAAAAAAATCCTTCGTTCAAGGACAAGCTTTTCTGATTCGAAGTAAGGCGCAAAAGATTTCATGTAAATCGACACAGTAGTTTTCGAGAAATATTGATCATAGATGTGAGAAATGTAGTTTCGAGAAAAACGCGTTTAAAGTTTCAAGTCAAACTTACACTTATATAAAATGTTCATTTTTTAACACCTGTAACTTTGTCATTTTTAATTGGATTACCTTGAAACTTGCATAGAATATTCTCGAGATGTTGTACTTAAAGAAAATGTAGAAAGTGAAAAATCGATTTTCTGAAAATTTCTGACTGAGCATGACCCCTTAAATCGCATTTACGAATGTAACTATAAATTCTGTTTCGTTATTAATTTCCCGTTATTTATAACACCAACAGTTATCAGTAATTCCGTCGCTACATCCATACTGAAAGTGCATGCTTGTTAGTGTAGAAAGTTACGAATTAAATGAAATAACACTCTGTCGTGTTATCAAGCGACACTATTATATGCCACGATTAATCAGTATACACGTCACACATTCGGAAAATGTTTTAAAATTTATTTTAATAATCTCGCATGTTAGCAACATTTACAACTCAGTGGAGCCTAAACAAAACAACAGATTTTAACGAGAATAATCCGATTTTAGAATATTATACAAATTCGTGACACCGATCTCTGGTTGCAATATCGCAATCTTCGTTAAAAATCACATAAGACCCAAAATTTCCATTAAAATGATTACTGCAGTAGGAACCAAAACATCATTTAAGACTTATTCTATCAGTTTTCTTGAAGCAAATTCTTTCTAGCTCGCTAGCTAGACTTCGTGACCTGGCTTACCGCACGATTAGAGAATTCAAGCGTAGTAAGTATACAGTCGCGAATAACGGTGCACTGTAGATGTATAATAACGCTAAATATGCGGCGCAAAATGTATATTTCGCTTCGAAAATAATCGCACGCAATTGTAGTGCAATAGATTGCGTTTACAAATTGTAAACGCCACGTGTACAGTGTAATCCAGTGTACTACGTCAACGAATTTACATTATTACAGTGAAGCCGACACGAGTAGTACTTATTCAAAGTAAAAAAATAATACTTGAAATAATAAATAATTGAAATGACTTTATCACACTCATCTTAAAAATATCTTACCAAAAATACCGTTATTTGGTATCCAAATAAGGAAGAATCACTTCTAAATAATTTTCTACTTCAGTTTATATACTGTATTTCACTGTGATTAATGTTACATTAAACATTGCATTTTTTATACGGTTAAAGTTAGTATTGTAAAGTTAATTATTCAGAATAATTGTAGCTTTGTGTAACAATAACAAAAAGTAGTAAAACATAGCAAAAATATCACACGTGGATAAAAGTTTTATTGCAAATCGTAAATATAAAAAACAATATTTCAAAGTATTTATCACACGTTCATTTCTGTTGAATATATAGTGCTCATCGAATTCTTACGGTTAAAATTCTTGATGAGAACGTATGAATTATTTTCAACTAATACATATACAGGATATTTCTCCTAATATGAATAACTATAAGAAATATTTGCTTATAAGAATCTCTAATTAAGTGTACAATTATGAATATCATATAAAAGCCTACATATTTCTGCGTTAAAAGAATATGTTCACAAGATTTTAACGAGTCAGAAATTATCGCGGTAGGACGGAATATGTCTTTAACAACTATGTAGGTACCCTCACGAGTAAACTCGGCTTCGACTAGGGGAAAATATGTCGTGGAAGAAAAATTTTCTACCACTTGGTATCGGGAATTCCTGTAATTTGTACCAAATTAACATTCGTTTTTAAAATTTATTTCAGTACTTAAAATAAACTTACCAAATGATAAGGAGACGTTTCTTCTATGCCACTTTTCCCCTAGCGGAAGTCGAGTTTGCTCGTGGGTGTACATACTTTCACACTCCATTTTCCTCACCTTCAATGACTTTACTACATACCGGGTGCATCATGGACTATTTAATCTTCATAATGATGTTCTTTAATTATGCAAAATTAAAAATACTTAATATACATATATGTAAATGGAAGTGACCTAAAACGAATGAATATCTTTGCAGTAAAACCTTGATATTGTATGTTACCAAAAGCCTCCTTCGGCGTAGGAAGACATACAGTACCGAACAAATGAATTCGAACACAGACATTTTTCTTTTTATTTGTTCTTATGGCGATGTGACAAAAGTTCTGCCTTTCATTTTGTTTACTATTAAGTACTCCGACGCTTGCTTTCATAAAAGTTACATAGAGACTCCTAAATACTACAATGTTGTAGTGTTTGTCCGAAAAACATGTGTCCCGTACTGTATCTGTGAAAGTAATTCACCGAAGTAATTTTGTCTACTCGGATATAGTATGTAATGAGCATTCATTTCAGGGAAGCATTAAATCTACAAATGTTTTGGTACGTTTAACTCTGTTTAAAATCTTTCAATCCTTAAATGCAATGAGATTAACCACAATTTAGATTTACCAACAAATAGTAATACCAACTGTATTTACATAGTAAAGTAATGCGTATTACGTTACCTACTTGGTGTCCGAGCACGCTAATCACAACCAAATTCATAACACTTTTATGAATTATGATGACACTTACTTTGAATAGGAAGGTTTCTCGGATCCTCCAAGTGTCAGTTCTATCAGTAGACTGCTTCGTGGTGGGCGACCTGGTGACGATGGGAAGAAGGATTACACCATAGACGGTATACTCGGCGGTGGTAAGTAATTGAAATTTCATATTCAAATACTTTCACTTTCACAAATATTTATTCGATTAAGGAAGAAAAAGTAAACTATAATTCGTAAGTCTATCCATTATTAGATTTATGTACAATATTAGGAGTAACAGATAGGAACCAGTGAAACGCGTAGGATTTTTTCTTCCAAACAGGCTCAAATCCTGAGCTTCAGAAGCGAATAAGTATACATATAACTATTTTTATATTACGTTAGTTGAGTTGTTTGCTTTGCTGTTTTTATTTGCTGTGATCTACTATTTTGTCGTGCGATAAACGTTACAGAGAAACATTTAAAGACAAATTGATGACTCAACACGCTGTAGAAGTGATAAGTTTCATATTACAATTATAAAAATGAAGTACATATTGGGTCGGTGCAAGTTTTGATGGGTTTTCTGTAGATATGATCATCATGATTTTGCGTAACAAGAATTAAAATTATTATTAGTTTACTTTTTTTAGAGCAAAATCCATCAAAATTTATCCACTTACCCAATCATTGATTTTTAAGTATTAGTTATCCATTAGGCCATGGGCTCCCAGACACGCCTCAAAATCGGTTAAACTATATTATGTAACATTGTTTCGACATATTAAAAGGCAGAAAAATATAATTGTAGTGGGTCAAACTAGCCTACCTTCTGTTTGTTATACATATTTCGACAAAAACGTTGTTTTCAAACGAAGAAAACAAAAGAAGTAAAAACACTGGCTTACGACTTACGAGTTGGCAATAAAGTATGAAAAATCTATTCCTGACTCCTGGCAAAAAAATGAACGTTAATACTACATATAGGTTTGCATTTTTAAAAATTTTACAAGTTTATGTTACTCTTATGTTAATATTCATCTTTATATTTATGTTTATGCCAAACCATAGACTAAATAAAAATATCATTTAAAAGCATCTTTCCTTTTAGTTGGTTTTTTTCAGTTTAGATACGGTGTTACAATCATCCCTAGGGGTGGGGACAAAAGTAACAAATGAGTGATTTTATAGAGTCTTATTTAAAAAAACTTTTATAATACATTCTAAGTTTTAAAGCTCGATTATGTTGTCCAATAATCAAGGTTTCCCATCGTATAGGAATTTTTTTCAAATTTCTGCTGTCTTCAAAAGTTACATACTCAAAAGGAAAAGTTGTTACGTTTGTTCCTGGTCTCCCCTACTATTTTCATTAATATGAAGGATGTCTTCTACTACGTGCGTCTCTTTTCGCATTCTAAACAATTTCATGGCAGCATCTTATTGGGCGCAAAATAAGTTTCAAAGTCTATGAAAAAGACTGAACGTACAGATTAATTTCTAAGATGTGTTTTTACCCTCAAAAAGTGTAGCAGAAAAAGAATTCTTATTCGGAATAACTTAATTATAAAATCGAAATTTTCAAGGTACTCTGCTACATGTTTGTACGAAAGTTTTTCCACTAGCGTAGACGATAAATCTATTTCCATCTTTTGTACTAAATCTACTCCAGTGATAGAGGTTCAATTGAACGCTTTATGGCCAAACCACTCTTAGAAGGTTATATCTACAATTGGTACGGGAGAGTGGACGTAAAACCGTGGCTCTTATAATATATATAACTTCATAACTCTAACATTAATAAAACAAGAATTGAAATTGGAATTGTTGCTTATTAGCAGAATCTCTCGTCTGCGGCGACGGAATTAATTCAACTCCTCAGACCCCAAACCACTTTATCATACTTTATTTATACTTTAATACACGACAAAGTAACATAATGAACACCAAAAACTACTTACTTAACACTGTCAGTAGTTGTGAAGTTTTTAAATGATCGAAAATTAGATTAGAGCACTCGAAAACACAAAAAATACACGTACCTTCCTGAACACACGTGTATCACGATCAGTGTTCATTGATGATCTGATGCAAACGACTGCGACATGTGGCTGCAACAAATTGGAAAAATTTGGAACCGTTTTAAAAACAAGTATAGTCCCCCAGTGTGTACTTTGGAACCGTTTTAAAAACAAGTGTGTCTCCCTAACGACTCAATATTCTTTTTGCATCGTGCATTTTTCGTCATCGACATCGGATACTCGTTAATACAATTGCTTCCTGTAACAAACGTTCTTCGCAAAGTCCGTTTACTCGCGGAACGTGGAACGTATCCCTCTCGTCGCTGAATGACATTCGTGACTTTCGAAAGAAATGCATCATACGACGCCAAAAATCTTTGAAGTGCTTAATTACACACGGCGAAAATACGCAGGAAGGGATCGTGAGTAAATGAAAGGAAAAAAAAAATAACAGCTAGGCGATAACGCGAATAAAATATGAGAAAGAAGAGGAATTTGACCGATCCATCCTCGGAGGGCACCAACAGCTTTTAACCTCTTGTATCTACGAATGAAGTTTGACACAAGGGGATGCGATGTATGGGACTTTAAATCCTGTCCTACGTCGTCGGTTAGGCCGAGTTAGTTCGAGCGAGCCAGGAAGCCTGCAGGATTTAATCTTCGGTGGGCGTGAGCAGGATTAGCTAGGTTGCCCACACGTCCGTCAAATGGATTACCAGAGTGTCAATATCTTACGGAGCACGCATTATCTCTCTTCTTCTTCTTCTTCTGCCGTCCCTCTTTTTCCCTTTTTCTTTCAATCCTCTTTCGGTTTGTACTCTCCTTTGAGACTTCCTTCATGGTTTCATACAAGAAAATGTATTAACATATGACTGGAAAAACTGACAAAGATATGCTATTCTTTAATATATTATTTAAACACACGGGCTTTTTTTATAAAATAGTTTAGACAGTCGAATTCGTCGTTCAAAAATACTAATTTCATCAATTTTACACAATTACTGTATATGTGGTAGTTTCCGAGATATTCGTCGAAATAGATTCCATACAGCCCCTAAAATTAGGGGCGGTTTTCGTCGCTTCAATATGAACGGCTGCCGATATAGAAAAATACATGCAAAATATCTTTATGAGAACGACATTATACTTGTGTTTCATCAAAATCGGTGATTGACACTTCGGTATTCCCTTGTTAGGATAGCACACTTACAATTAGTACACTTTCCTCAAGATACTGTTCAGACTGATTGTGAAAGACGTGAATTATGTATTAGAAAAATATCATGTCGACTTGTCAGTTTGAACAGAAAGGGATTTCAGTAGATTATATTCGGGATGTTTCTATCAATAACACTATAGATCACTATTAATAAATTTTTTAAAAAATCGATAGTACGAGTTATCAGTATATTGACACGAGTGATTCTAGTTGAATAGAAAATATGTCTAACAAAAAAGTGTAAAACGATACATAAACAGTGTGTTAATTATGTTCTACGATTTCTGGTATGTTGTTACCAGGCCATTACCTAGCCTCACGTATCCGAATGAATAGGCAATCACAAGTGTGTGGATAAACGAATTTTCGCATAAGGGAACAATCATGTCTGATACTAAACTTCATTTATTTCAATAGAGACCAAGTAAATTGACAGATTGCTTAAACAATGTTTTCTTTTGGTTACTAAACTACAGAAGTGTTTCAACATAAGTAACTGTGTAGAATATGAACGAACAGAAGGCAATATGCATTGTGTGTAAGCAATACGGACGGTATCTGTGGCTGGAAGACATTCTGTTCAGACAATAAAACGTTCCAATATTAGGGTATTCGTATACTGGGTGTCCCGATACGGGAGGCTGTTCTGAAAATACTCTCGGTGCACATAAAACGTCGAGCTGCGTGTATGCATACCTACGAGTAAACTCGGCTTCCGCTAGAGGAAAAAGTGGCGTAGGGGAAAAGTGGTTTTCTTGAAAAGTGATGTTGAAGTATCATATCTTTGAAACTGCTTTTATTTGTAATATAAGTACCTATTGAATCTCGCAGTCAGATACAACTCAAATATCATGCTATTGGGTGAAGCAGCAAGGACTTTTCATTTTTAACTTTATTTTTTTACACAAAGGCCTCGAATAAAAGTTCGAATAACTCGACACTCGGCGTTTAAAGTGCAACAACGTATGCGCACGGCGTTCTGACCAGCTCCATCTGTGCTGTGTGCATCGTCGAGAAATGCGTTGTATCACTTGTATCTTGCGGCCTACCGATCACGCATTTGACTGTGAGTCACAAGATATGTACACCCACGAGCAAACCCGGGTTCCACTAGGGGAAAAAGAGACGTAGAATAAAAGTCTCCTACCGCTTAGTAAATTTATTCCAGATACTGAAATAAATGTGTTAAATCGAATGTTAATTTGCCATAAATTTCAGTAATTCCAAATACTAAAAGGAAGGAGCATAGTAGGAGTTTTTCCCCTAGCGGAAGCCGAGTTTGCTTGTGGGTGTACACTTATGAGTAGCCTGCGGATTTTTATGCAAAATGAAATTTTTTAAAGTAATTCATACTGAGGAGAGTAAATGTAGAAATTTCTTTCTTTTCTCAAGTATCATATTCGGTTCCGAATAAATCAAAAACTTATTGGATCTGATGAAAGTTTTGTCCTTTATTATATTTTACAGACTCCTATAGGCTATAAATGCATAAAATCCGCAGTCTATTTATGAGTAAACTCAGTTTCCACTAGGGAAAAAAGTGACGTAGAGGAAGGACCTTGTGCCATTTGGTTTCGGGAATTATTGAAATTTATACCAAATTGACATTCGATTTAACATTTATTTCAGTACCTACTTGAAATAAATTCTTACGCCACTTTTTCCCCTAACGGAAGCCTAGTTTGCTCGCGAGGGTACTTACGGTGCTTTTCTCAACGATGCATTGCATAACATTGTTTCACTTCTTTAAATGCCCAGTGTCGACCTCAACAATAGTTCGAATAAGCACGCTGACGAAAGTTATTCGAAGTTTTATTCGAAGCCTTTGAATAATAAAATAAAGTTAAAGATAAAAGATCCTTGCTGCTTCGCCCAATAGCATGATATTGAGTTTATCTGAATATATTACAAATAAAAGCACTTTGAAAATTAA